TTCAAGATGTTTTTAATTTTGTAAAATTTGGCTTTAAGTAGAACTCGGGGGTGTGCCTACCTGATGAGCCCCTAAAAGGGCGGAACCGGTCGCGGGCTGCCGCCGAGTCTTCAGCAACCTTATGAGTAGTGTATTACGTCTATACATGTATCAAGGTATCCCGAACATCGTACCAACTGAAACATGGGGCGGCCTGATAGCCACATTCAGTTACTTAAAAACATCATAAACGAGAGATTCGGCTGGAATCCAGGTGAGGCTCTCGCAAAATCAAATTTGTTTGCAAATGAGTGTATTTCACTAAGGTCTTGTAATTCGGGTTCAGTTAAAACACAAAGTTGACGGAAACTTGGGGACTGCGCGAAGCTGACGAGCTCCAAGATGGGCGAAACTGGTCGTGGGCTGTCAAAGAGTTTTCAGCATCTTTTTGAGTAGTGTTGTGGTCAAACCTGTTAGATGATGCTACCGAATTTAACTCGAATGCATTTAGCGAGCCTTTTCTACAAAATGTGGCAAGACAATCCATTTCCGACTCTGAAAACACTGCCATACACCACACACGTCCAGTTAGTGTTCAGTAATCAGTTAACTAAATTCACTGCGATGAATAAAGCCCACTGGCATGCACATCTTTTTAAACTGCGCGCTGGCTTGTTGAAAGACCAGTAGATACTACTACGGAGAGTTTTCTTCATTCGCAAAACATTTCGGACAAGGTGCATCTCCTGTAAACTCGCCACAGATGACGAAAAACCAACTGCGTTTTTTCTAATCAGATGAAGGTTACGTTGAGCACTGGCAGTTTTCCAAAACGCCACGGTCTGTAGTTTGACTAAAATGATGTGAGACGGCTAGCTTTTCAGGTTAGTACATATGTCATCAAATTCTCCTCGTACAGTCAGTACTCATGAAAGAAAGGGGGGGTTCGCTACAGAGTTATTTATTCGGAAATGCCATCTGACCGGTTACAGACCATTGAACAGGGAAGAAAAACTCTAATCTGCATCTTAGTTACAAAAACTGGGTACAGATCTTCTTCCGAACGAGTCTTCCTAGAGATTCGTTGCCTCCACTCATTCGTCGGTCAAATCCAAGCAAATGTTACAAAGTGGCCCCACGAATTCTGCAACAGAATTCGCTTTTCCAGTCGACGCAAAGCGAAATTCTACGAACAACACATACTGCTCGCGTGCCTCCCGATCAGTAGTATCACCATTACACTCATAGACCCACATATCAGAGATTCAGGACAATTTATTGTGAGGAAGTGAACTCATCAGGCATTTTTCGACCTTTTATTTGTCGATATTACTTGTTATTTTGTATGTCTTCGAGAACAGTGCCGGGAAACTAGGTGATCACCAATCACAATCACTCTTACAGATACTAAACACCCATTTTTGTTCTGACTATCCCGAATGTACTGGGTTCGAGCCTACGTATTGTTTGAGGACTTAAGGCCCTCGATTTTCATCCCCAGATTCAACGTGCTTTCGAAATGGGGGATTTCCACGTGCTGGCTAATATGAAGAAGGTTGAAGGTAGTGCTGAGTGTTTTTTGTGTATAGACAAAGGACAGAATGCCGAAACCGCATGGCTTCTGTTTGGAAACGATTGTCTACCACTACCTTGTTGGTTTTGATTTTATTTTGGGAGCATTCATTGCGTCTAAGTCTTCATGACATGTCCAGTGCACCGGGCACAATTTTTGAATTCGTGACAATAGTTTCAGATTTTGCGGTTTGAGTTCATCTTAAACATTCACTCGAAATTCTCAAAAGCTTGCCAAACCTGAAGGAGACAAAGGACATACATGATTTCCGATCTGCTGGCATGATTTTAAATAAAACTTCTGTCACCGATTATACCTTAAAAAAGTGGTGTACAATTACAGGGAGAACCAGTGCTACGAAATTGAAATGGCGTGGGTGAGCACCGTTTTTTGCTAGCGGTCGACTAAAGATATTGATTTTGTGGTAGCCGCACTAAAAATTTACTGTAAAAGTATGATTTACAGTTTGTAACATCTGCAGAGTAACTTCATGTTTGCGTACAGATGACCAGAATCGTCCTCTTGCACCCTGTGTGTTTGTTAGCTTAAACAGATCGGTCTTGGCTTTCAAAACACTTGGTTGTCACCCAAGCAATCTTTTATAATAATTACGGTGACCCTATTCTTAACGTGCAAATAAGACGTCTAATATAAGTTAGGGTTACCGGGGAAGGTCTTCGGAGACTTGTAATAAAACCGCAGACCGACACGCTAACGCGCAGTAACAAAATTCATATAAAAAAGAGATTCAAAAGGACTTAAACAGTGCATGTGTTGACCGAATACGAGCCTCTATGCGACGAGGCTATTCGATAGGCTCGTGTCGCTTTCTGCTAAAATTGTGGTCTACCGAAGGCCTTGTATTGCCTGAATCAGCACGCCTGATGTCAGGACTACACATCCACAATATTCTGATGAATAACACGACAATGAGTAAGGATCTAGAAACTTGCACAGGTAGCTAAGGGATCTATTCTGCTCTTAGCTGTAGCTGGTTGCGGGGTTCTGTAGAATTCACCATACCATCACTCTCGTTTGAACAGTCATTCTCCTGTCCTGGTGAATATACACTACAGTGGGAGGGACAGCTGGACTTGAATCTCTCTTATCAAGGCTCAACTGCATGCGAGGCGAGCGTGTTAACACTACCCCACCAGAGCATCCTCACCATTAGCATCGTTGACACGGTTCAAGGTACGTTGGACGCATCGGACTAATTAGACCTTACAAGTGCACATGTTAGCGCCTTTGTCGTGTGATTCGTTTGCCCGACGCCTCAAAAGACGACCCAGTAATTGTCCTGGATTTGTCGATCGATTTACCCGCCTTTGAGGACTTCCCAGTCAGGTAGCGCCACACACACTTGAAACTTGCTGGACAATCTTCGAGTAGTTGTAGGCTGTTGTGGGAATTGCACAACTCTGCTTTTTTGTTTTACACACTAAAATAGTACATGTGGGTTAGTTTTGCGCAATCAGATTTCTACAGGACTCATTTTATTTTTCTAGGTTTTATTTTGGTTACCTTAACAACATTCGGTTACAGTGCAAACTGAATTTATAGAGCCTTAGAGTTTAGGCTGTCGCCACCACTTGTTTGTGAATTAAGGTTTCTGTTCATTTGTTCCGTTTGGACGAATAACGAATAAGCGGTTAGACGGTTCGATAGCAAGTCAGGAATTTTTGTAGATCGCGTAAGCTCGTGTTTATCCAGTGGACCATATGAATAATTCTTATATGAAATGTTTTTATTCTTTTCGTGTACCAGAAAAAAGGTCACATATCCACCGAGATCGTCCTTAGACGAAGGGTTCATCTTTCACAATAGGTTGAACTGTTGACAGTCCGTGTACTTTTGCTGACTTTTGATCTGTTCGCCAACATTGATACTTCACGCACGGTGTTCGCGCGAACGGTGGTCATACATTTATAGGTCGATTGCAAAGCTCAGCGAACGGATAAAAATAAAGCGTATTTCCTTCAAACTAGCAAGCTCAAATGACTACAAAAATGTAAGCTGAAACGGGGGTAGTTTTCCAGAGTGGACTGGCACACGTGAGCAATTGCCCGAGAACCACTCGCTAGATTCTTCGTCATCTCTACCTAATATTTTGTAAGAAATTCCGATTTAAAAAGTTTAGAACAAATTCGATTTTGACCGTTTTTATGAAGATTTTATCCGTTATGGAAGTCAATCTGGTCCAACATTCCGGCAAAGAAGCTTTTTATTTTTATTTTTTAAAAAATCTACCGGTTAGTTCGTTAGTTGGGAGACCATTCAGGGGTATCGAATAAAGTAGTCAGTCATCTATCAATACAAATTACTGTTTTCCCCAAACGTACATGCTAAGTAGGAAATTCAGCACCGTAGGAGAGCACTGTTACTCCTCCGGCAAGTTATACGGCCTCATGACTTGATTTGTCTTTCCAAAGCGCGTCAAACATGAAACTAAGGGTCAAAACCTAAAAGTGGCGGAATTTCCGGACCACGTTCCACGCAACCAGAGGTCTCGATTAAAGGTATGTGCTGACTCGCGATCAGTAAAATGTCTTCTGAGACTCAGTAGTGGCTAGCAGTCACGATGCTCCTAAGCGAAACAGGTCGTATAGTCGATCAATCGCAGCTGTGGTAATCCGGAAAAATGTACGTTTTACGCATACGTCACACTGATGCCGTCCCATCACCTCATTTGCACCACAGTATTAGGCGGTGCACATCCTATACCAGTTGATTTTCAAGCATATCGGTGAGTTCCAGAACAAGGCGCTTCAAACTCTAGGACACGAATTCTGCGGTTTGTGTGAAGGTGGGTACTGCGAATTGGAATCACCTACGGGTCCCGTGAAATGACGAATTAGATAGCCTTCATACATGGATAACATTCCGTTCGAGGAGATACAAACTGCGTTGGAACTGAGTGAACCAGTTAATGTTCACTGAACAGGCAGCTTGAGACCAACTCCAAAGGGATTAGATTTCCAAGCAAACATCGCGTCTGTCTGAACAGCCTTGACGGCCGAGTCACTGGGATAACACCGTCTTATGCTATCGGGAATGTGCTTCACCAGAACTGATGGAAAATAGTGTTGAACTTCCCTTTTGCATACGAATTTCGTTTCAACAGGAAACTCAACTGAATCCATTTGAATCTCTCGTTTATGCTGGTCAGATTCAACTGAATGTACCGCACCTCGTTTTTCACTTGGTACGTCAAGGGCGAAACCGGTCGTGGGCTGTGGATGGATTTTCACCAACCTTATGAGAAGTAGATTACAATAGAGCATCCTTCTGCGTGCTTCGCATTGATGCTGCATTCGACAATATTTTGCCCCCATTAAGCTCATCCAGTCGATATGGTCATAGTACTCTCCACAATTTTACATCTACATCTGTATGAATGAGCGATATTACCTTACAACTCAGACAGCATGTTTTTCTTTTCATATAGGCAAACGAAACAGTTCGGAAACGGAGAAAGAACACTGGGAAGAGATTATCGACGGCCACGGACAGCGGATAGCCAGATGGCATAAATTGTATCTGGCCTAACGAAGGTGATTGGCAGAGGACGTGTGTTTTCGATAAAACATGTATAAATCAGTCGCTTGGTTGTTAGTTGATTATTTCCGCAAGTTGGGTGGTGACCAACAGTTTCTAGAGATCGCTAGGGCTACAAAATGATAAAGGAAATGAGATGACTTTTCGATAAAACATGTATAAATCAGTCGCCTGGTTGTTATTTGATTATTTCTGCAAGTTGGGTGATGACCAACAGTTCTAGAGATTGCTAGGACTACAAAATGATAAAGGAAATGAGATGATAAAACTAGCGTCGGGGCAGTGTAGCCAGGATAACAACGTTTCATAATACCCGCTTTCCCATGATCTGTGGATTGACAAAAGTCCGACCGATAAACTCGTGACCAGGGGTCCATAAATGCGAACGAATCCATATATGGCGATTCAGAAAATGTCCAGTAGAAGTCATCATCATCAAGAGCATAACATCTGGGTTCAACAGTGATGCTTCACCACCGTACAGTCATGACTGATTTGAAAGAAAGAAAAAAGTGGACGGAAATTAGACCTGATGTTAACTTACCACAAACATTCGGAGGCATCTACACCTCCAGACAGAGGTAGTACGTGAAGTCAAAACATTACGTCTTGGATAACTGGACAAAGCTGACCAGATTACCCTGAGAAAAAAGCTGTCTTCGTCCCCACGAAAAGGGTGTTTTTGGTGTCGCACCAGCGAACTAATCTCGTGGCTCATCATATGGCAGCTGCAGTTATTCACCAATTCTAAACAAGGGATGCATTCACCGATNTCGCCAGATAGTTCCATTTAGATGCGAATTTGTTCTTGATGGGAGACTCTCCTGTATCTCAGCTAAATTCATTGTTAATGATGGTTTTCTTTAGCTGAGTGTGCTGCACTAGGCCGCCTCATATTTTAGTTGCTACGATATTCGAAATATATTCGCCATATACTGTTCAGACGTAACACGCGACTCAAAAGGTCGCTGAAAAGCGGTCTTCAGGAATCTTAAGAGTCTAGACAAGGTATGAGCTATTTTCTACGTTCGAAGTCAGCGACAGTTTTCCTACCGCTTAGCTCCATCACTTGAGGATCGAATTTTCAATGCTCTATTCCTGGGCTAGCCGGAATCTCCAAAATCTGGTACCATCCATAGACAAATCTTGTCCCTATCAGTTGTAACTGGATGCGGTGTGAAATTCAAGCAAAATAGCGTTCAAAATCCCCCTAAAAGCGAATTTTGGTTCAGATAGGCCAATTTACTGTAGCCAAAAGAGACAGGCTAAGAGTACTGGAAACAAAATGCATAATACCACACTTCTGAGTGACAGAGCCTGAGATGGTTCAGCGATTAAGGCGTCGGTTTGTGGGCCGGATTGTCCATAGTTCGAACCCAACCTCGGCATCTCAATTGATCCTGTCTAGGCTTGAGCAACCTGTCATTATTCCAATTCTGCGTACCTCCTTCCGTTGGCACGGAAGCTAAGCACCGAAAGGTGCTAAACGCTTTTTTCTAAGTGACACGCGAGGCTATTCTACCAGGGGGGTCATGATGGCACACACCACGGCCATTAGCTGCCTTCCGTTTCGAGGTGCTACCGTTTTCATGTCACGATGTATTAGTTTGTGTTCATCAGAATGACAAACGACCATTCTCACCTGAGCATCTAGTTAAAATATGACGAGTCACTGTAAACAGTCCTCCGCCTGTACTGTTCCAACTATTCTGGTGAACTCACACCAAAGGAAGGAAGCACTGAACTCGACTTTCGTTCTTATCAGAGCTCATCAGCAGCTCGTATCTCTGGTCGGGCTGGGGTTTGAACTCTGAACATCTGACATGCAAAACTAGCATTTTACCACCGGCCCACCAGCACACGCTGGATGTGACTGATTTGTCACGTCTGGACAAGCGATTTATCAGATCTGTTAATCTGAAATGATCCCGTACAGCGGTACAGGCTACTGATACAACAATTCAGAGTTTTGGCTGACCGTTACCACAGTAAACGTAAAAGGCTATTGATACAGAGACAAGTCATCCCTTCATGGTTTAAGCCCTTTCCTCAAATAGTTTTCGAGCCTGAAAAGGAGACTGTCATCCTGATATGACAAGCTCCTGTTTATTCAGCTTAAAAATTTCGATCTACCTTATATACATCCGTAGGATGTGAGAATAGACCAAAGCTGATACGATGTTCTCGCATACCTCCAGTTGCCAGCAGCTCGACCTACTCACCCATGTATATCTAAGCGGACAGTTTACTTGGCCGACGAATTATCCGGTCAACCGAAGTAAATCGATTTACACTAGTGTGCGAGAGGCGAACTCTAACTGAACTACACATTATACTGACCAGTTTGATGGAAACAGTGGCCATGCACTTGTAACAAACGGTACTATTGAGGGGAGAAGTATTATTAGCATGGTGGTAGTGTCATAGTGTAATAATACTAGTAATAAATCCGCGAACAGTGTTCCTTCTCTCTCTGGCTGCCGAGTAAAGCGGATGAAGGGATTGGTGAAATAAAACTGAGCGCTACAAACATTACTCATACCGATTTTAAACTTCCCTACGTGATTTTCTTGCTCGGTATGGTGGACAGAAGTAGTGCTTTAAAACGTGAGTTCCCCTGACTTCCAGAAATTATTTTACCTTTTTGAAGTGCTTATTAATTGACAGTACGTGTTTCCACTGGTTCAACAAATGATTTCTTTAAGAATTCCATCAAAACGACTAAAAGCACATTTGGAATATCACATGAAACTGGATTCACTTGCTACGCACACAACGGCCTAGTTATACAAAACTCCACTGATGGTCAAAACGTTTCATAACCCGAAATACCCTGCTTTTTTCCGTTTCAGTAACACTTTCAACAACCCTTAAATAGTGCCGAGCGCGTCACATACCATGACTGGATCATTTAAAAGACAGATATTCACAACGCCGGTGTAGTCTAATCGCCTGAGGCGGACTTTCCGAAACAATCCCGAATTATAGGATTAGGTTTGGTCAACTGACTGACTTTGGTCAGTTCAGTCACCTGTCGCCACAATCACTCATGAACAGTGGTCGGACGAAAAAACAATACCATAATTAATGTGCTGAGAAGATAACCGTACATAGGAGTGGAAAGCAATCGTTCATTGGAAGGACTATGCGAATCCCCGAGGCTAGTTTGCAAACAACAAAAAGCTATTGAAATTTGACAGAATTCGTAAAACTGCGGAAAACTCTTGGGCATCTCGTAGCCCCTGCTGGGGCTCATCATCTAGGACTCATGTTGTAAATGGATACCAGATGTATGCGATTGACGAACTACGGTCGTTTGCAAACTAAACTGACGATAAAGGGAAACGACTGAGTCAAACCTGAATCCACCGCTTATGATGTTCTTCTTCAACTAAATATATTGCACGAAACCCACCTTATGTTTCGACTGGCACAATATTCGAAATGTCGCGGTACATCGCCATGACTGGACACTACCCGGAATGTTGCCTAAAGCCCTTCGACAGCTGTTAGGACTTATCAGTTAGGCACAATCCCCAAATTGCCCTCAACCTTATGTTCCCCTTGAACACGAAATTGTACGCAACCAGCGAAATGCACTCATTTGAAGAATAACATAAACGCGGGGTTCAGTCAAGTTTCCTGTTTAAACCAAACGCATTTGCATCGTCACTAAATTGTGTGCACTTGGTGTCCACGTAGGAAATAAGGTCAACGGAAACCCGGAGACTGTCTGTCTACCTGATTAGTCCCAAGACAGGGAGAAACTTCTTGTGAGATGTTCAAGAGTCTTCAACAATCTCGCAATATCCCTCAAGTTTGTTGGTTACAAAATCTTTCCGAAGAAAGAGTTGATTCCATCCCTATATATTCGGTGATTTTGGAGCCATGGTCACTTTCCCAACGCTAAGAACACTACACGGCTTCCGGCCGACCACTGTTCAAGTCCGAGACGTGAATTATCCCCACTGCATCCAGCATATGGTTGAGATGGGGGAGGGGTACTGGGCACACGATAATGCGTGACATGGCACAAACTGCAACCGGAACTGTGCTATTGAATTTGGTCAATCTTGTCCCAGTGGTGTGAAAGAGACCGGTCACGGATGAAGAGGAGAGGTATTTCCAGTGGAAGGTAGAACGAGACCGCACAAGGAAAGATGAGGTTTTCACTAGAGAATAATGTATAGTAACCTTCAACGGAACCCATCCTCATCAACAGAAAAGGAATTCGGAGCGGTGATGATTGAAGTCCTCACTTGCTCCTCATGTATCCATCACTCCAACAACACGATGCATCTTGTCAACCATCTTCGGCATCTATTACGTTGATTTGTCTAGCATAGGGCAAAACACCTTCGAAGCACTCGACAGAGTGTTGTCGTACTTCATTTGATCCTAAGTTCATCTATGGAACACAGTAGGTGGTACTGCGTAATCAATGTCACTGGAAAATGTCTATGCAAGACTACATGTTGGATTACAGCAGATGACATTTGACAATTTCAATTCTGTACTATGCATGTATCGCACAAACGCTCTTGTTTCTCCGTTTGAAGTACATTGTCGGCCTCTAGCTCAACCAGACAACGATGAACTGTTCCTTCGAATCTCGAGTAAATATCTTAGCCCTTGGAGCAGAGTATAAAAGTTGCACTCGTCAGTCAAGTTATCAGTACTAGGCGTGAGACGGACGTGTTCTGGTGAGTTTTCTTCTTTTTAACTTCAACTAAGGTGTAAAGGTGTGACGGCCCTATTTGCTCTGGTAACAGCCAACATCAAATGAAAACAAACTCAGCATACATGCTTCTCGTTTCGCTCGATCGTTACGGGGCACTAAAACGGACGGCAATCGCACTCAGCTCAGCCACACAAGAACGACTGCTCATTAGCACAATAACATGACTCGGATATTCATATTAAGACCCAGGTGATGTATCCACAGTGGCTCCAGCTTGTCTCCCGTCATTCATCATACGTGTAATTACGTGTCAGTCAGCATACTTTGTGGGTCGCGTCATTTGCCACTTGCCAGTGCAACCAGCACAATCAAGATACACCTCAAAAGGAATGACGACTCTCAAAGACAGTCATACACACACCAATACGGGGTCCCGGAATGCTGCAGCGGAAGTTATGGGCATTAGTCACTTGAGAATAGCAGCATTCGGACGTCAAATGAACCACATTTGCGATCCCCCTTAGGAGAATCACAATTGATAAAACTTCAGGTGATTGATGTGGGCCTGGTTAAAATTAACCACAGGAGAGTGCGCTGGGCCTACCCAAACTAAAGGCTACCGAAACAGCATGACCTTTGTTTCTGGTCTTAACATGCATGCGATCACCATGCAAATGTACTGTGATCTTGAAAAAACTGTCAGAAAAGGCTGTGTACGTCGACTCAGTGAAGCACTTTGACACAATCCCTGCAACAAACTGTGCTCACTTAGCACACAAGGTGTGCGCATTCACACAAGCCCTTCATGCGGACTTTGACCGCATGGATCACCAAGTTCATTGCTATGCTCAAGAGGCAGTAATTTGTGTTCACCAGGCTCTTTGGTCAAAACGGAGTGGTGAGTCCAGCAATCTGTTTTAGTGCAATTAAACTGTCAATGATGCTTGAGGAAGCCTTCGGCAAGCAGACACAACCACACCAATGACCGATCACTTCAGGATCTGACCACAAATATCGGGCTCTTTGTTAGAATCGATTAATGTCCGACCAATTACTAGCAGTGGTCAGCTGCTTGTTTGAATGCGTTAGCAGCCGGCTCGAGCGTAAATCAGACTCACCAGCTGCGCAAGCTGGTTGACTGACTGCTACCGTGTTCAATCACCCACCCCCCTCCAAGTCCACCTGACTTAGCTAAGTAGAGACGGTAGCGCAGGTGTGGCTGACCCGAGCACATTTTACTGCAAACATATCCGGTGACATTCCTTGAAAACAAACCTAGTGAATTTCGCTCCTAAGAGTAGGGAAAAATATATCCACAAGGAATGGCCCTCCTTTTGGAACGTTTAAAATCGGATGAATGAGTAGAAATTGAAGAGTGAGCTGCAAATTCATCCTACACTGTGTTCTTGTTGGTAGTTTCGGCTTTCCATTCTGTCATTTTTTATAGTAACGCGGATTTTAGAAGATTCCCGAACTACCTCCGCCTATGAAACTAATTCAACTTTGCTCGGCTGTTTTCCACTCAAAGATGAATTGGAACATTTGCCTAAAGAAGATCGGCTTCCGATCGTATTTAGAGTTACCCTGGACGGCGACTCTAGCTGGAGCGACCGAATTAAGACTATGAGCTATCTTAATGGTTAGTCCTCACATGTAATAAAGCGCACGAATAAGACTGACTACGGACTGAATGAACGATTGGCAATAGAATAGGGGTAGCTAAGGTGCGTCGCTTGGCTGTTGATCTGTTCACCTAACTTGCAAGCTGAATTGTAAGCGTCTCATCATCAATCGAGGTGACATGGTCAATATGGGGTTGAGTGGGACCCACTGACGATGTCACCTCAATTGGTGATCGGTGGGTAGACCAGAATGAGTGGCTCTCAAGAAAGACCAGGCTTTTTCGACATCACTCACTCTCCTGTTCTGATGTTTGAGACTATAGCTTTCTCGTGGGCGGGCAAACAAACCCAACTCGGTTTAAAATGCAATATCGAGAGAATAGGACAGAAATTGCAATATCATCAATATATTCATAAACGAATACACGTATAGAAAATCAGCATACGCACATAACACACCGGATCGCACAAAGTATACGGCATTTCAATAAGAGCTAGTGTAGCGGGAATTCGAACAGCAGCACACCGACTTCCACCACGGTTGTGAACCAATCGCGTGACGACGGGATTGGAAGCAGAGAGAACCTGCGTAAATTAATACAATAACTGAGCAACAGGTACAACCAAGACGGTAAGAAGGACACTGGCTTGGTAAACAGATGGATGGGAGGTGACAACCTGAGCCGAATAAACGAGGGCATGACAGCAATGGAAGCATCCACATGTGTATGTATTCCGTAATTGGGGTTTGTGGAAACGGAATAACGGTTTAAAATAGAATTTACTCGTTCGCGTTAGACCTGGAGCAACTTGTTCTGTTGCTGTTGGAATGAACAAAAAGTTCAGTTGGAAGAGAAGGACGAAAGCAACACGGTGTAAAAGTGGGGTGACTAGTTAGGATTCCCCTGTTTGGTAGGCCAATGGCCAAGTTTCACTCTTCTGGTTCAGGTTTTTGTGAACAAACAAGCAAACCATTCGAATGCCCATCATCTGCCGTTGGGAGCTGTACCGGAACCGATCCCAAAGCGGGCTGCATTCGTGGTAAAATATTGTCCGTGTCCTGCTCTGAATCCGAGACTCCCACATCCCAGTACTGTCCGGACAGGTGCAATTCCGGGTCGTCCGTAAACGATGCCATTTTGAGGGGTATGATGGAGGTCGAATGTCCGTTGAGTTTAGCCTCAGTCAGGAGTTGCTTGAATTTGCGATTGAAATAGACACGCACAGGGAATTCCATGAGTAGAAGGACTCCAGCAGTCATCATGATTAGGAAACAGATACGCAGAGACCACACATAGTCGTGAGTGACGTCGGCCACATAACCTGGTGTGAGAGAGACGAAGCGGACGAGAAAGTCAGGGGAACAGCTCTGGACAAACAGTACGGAGAACCTGCTCGGAATCTGGTGCTTTATATAAGCGTGAGAAGGATAGTAGAGTAATTTTGAATACGGTGGTTGTCTGAAGCAGGAGTACCACGAAGATTTGCACCAAATGGTGGTTGGTGCGAGACAATATTATGTTCTTTCTCTAGAGTGTCACAGTACATAACTTCGAGGGTGTCATCTGGATGTACCTCACAAAAGTAACGTTGGAAAAATAAACTACCGACTAAATGCGATTCGCGTTTAGTCAACCACTGCTTCCTACTTTAATGAGAAAGCAGACGCCACTGGCTGAGAAGAATGAACGGATGAATGGAAGATTACTTCACTTAAGAACCATACAAGACAGAAAACAATATTGTGAGTGTAAGCACAAGGAATATTTCGCAATATGAGTAAATTATGACTGTTTGCCCATCACAAACTAGACAGCCCGGTTGCTCAGGGTAACAGAAATACAAATGAGTCCAATTTTCGCAGTGTCTGGTAGAAAAATCCTTCGGAGAGATCATACTCGAAGAGGAGCCACATGCTTGAGAGCTCATGGGAAAATCGAATTTAAGTCTACTATGTTTGCCTTTCTGTCACATGACGGATGAGACATTTCCATGCTCCTTAGGACGAAGGAAGACCGACTGAGAAGTCAGTAGTGGGGCCAACGCCGAACTGGAGTTTTATCCCCTACGCTAATATGTGGATAAGGAGATGAGCACTACTGCAGTTATCAGTGGGAGGACACAAAAGACAGCAGTAGTGAGGCCACAATGGAGACCTGACCTCTTTTGGGAATCGCGGTACGCTGAGTCTTGGTTGACATCGTTCTGGAAGCTCCGCAGAAGCGCATCTCTTGAGAGGATTACGGTACAGCGAAAACGATGATTTTAAACCTATATTCCATGTGCTCATTAACGGGGGAATTACCACCTGGTATAAGGTGGTGAGTGGGCTTGACAGAAACAAACTGAGAAACGGCTATCTCCTACTCATCTAGGGCAAACAGACCTTCAAACATTTGGAACGCGCACTCAACACCCACACAACCAATCATTCTCCAGACCCGGTGAAGTGTTTGTCCAGCCGAGTTAGAGATTATTCACCTGAGCCTGGCCGCTAATTAGGCCAAAGAACTAGCTTGAAGTAGCGGTGTTAACTTATGCTAGGACGTGTTCAGGCCGAAACTTACACGTGCAAAGAACGACGCGACGCAAAGGTCATCATAGGTCACCGCGCGATCCAGATAGCAGGTGCGTAAGTGGAGCTTACCAAACGGCATAGCAACAGGCAAAAAGCGTGGCGGGTGAAAATGGTCAGGGCAGGGGTGTTGCCGTTGGCTGAACGAGTACGAACAAGCACGTGACCACATTTCGCCAATCAGCCATCCTATGTATTTATGCACTAGCTCTCTACGTCAGACAGGTAGTAGCGCTGTGTTTTTGTTGCTGTCTTATCGCGTAGTCTGGCAGGCCCAATTCAGGCATAACTGACAAGCATTCAGTCGCACGTCACAACAACTTACCGATTGCAAATTGGCCCGGTGAAATAGCGATTCCCAGAACGACCATGGTCAAGGCAAGCGAGTGGGGCAAGCGGGATGGACCAACCCAGTCAGACAAGACCACAATCATTTGTGTCATGGCAGTCCCACTACATACACCATGTACAGCAAAGCAGAAGTAGTAGGCGGCCAACAGACCAGTCGGCGCTTCCTGTGAGGGCCAGGGGATCACGCGGAAACACAAGATGGTTAGGTACAACAACAAACAATTGTTGATCAAATCACTGAACGGTCACCAATGGAT